AAAAACCCATTTGATTGTATACATTCTTGCAACTCAATAACAAATAAATGTCACTGTCATAAAAATATTTGTGACAGAAGAAAATTAAATTATCTCAACTAATGCAAGAGATACACCCCCATAATAATAAAATGGTTCATGGTTTAACAAATTCTACTACGCAAGTAAAATAATTATTAATGACATCTCATGTCACAAATTTAAAATAAACTAATAATAAAACATTTCTTAAATTTACTTCCAATTAAATGGAACGATATAACTACATACATCTTCATGTTTAAATTTCTCTGGTGTTTAAACACCCATTCAAAATTGATTAAAAATATTCAAATTAACATGCTTATGTCCAAAGTCAACATAACAATTTATCATTCCAAATCACTTGAAATTATTGTTAAGAAATAACTTGAGTTGATATCATACATACATATCAAACGCATCAACTAAAAATAATGAATTAACAAAATAAATTAATCATGCACGATCCCATCACTTGCATCATGAAATAAAAATATATAAATAAATAAAACCACAGATTTTATTTTGTTACAAAAACAGGATGAAATGATCTACCACAAACAATTCAATTTGAACAGGTATGTGGCTCTTGGTTTTGAATTGAACAGGTATGTGGCTCTTGGTTTTGAATTGAACAGGTATGTGGCTCTTGGTTTTGAATTGAACAGGTATGTGGCTCTTGGTTTTGAATTGAACAGGTATGTGGCTCTTGGTTTTGAATTGAACAGGTATGTGGCTCTTGGTTTTGAATTGAACAGGTATGTGGCTCTTGGTTTTGAATTGAACAGGTATGTGGCTCTTGGTTTTGAATTGAACAGGTATGTGGCTCTTGGTTTTGAATTGAACAGGTATGTGGCTCTTGGTTTTGAATTGAACAGGTATGTGGCTCTTGGTTTTGAATTGAACAGGTATGTGGCTCTTGGTTTTGAATTGAACAGGTATGTGGCTCTTGGTTTTGAATTGAACAGGTATGTGGCTCTTGGTTTTGAATTGAACAGGTATGTGGCTCTTGGTTTTGAATTGAACAGGTATGTGGCTCTTGGTTTTGAATTGAACAGGTATGTGGCTCTTGGTTTTGAATTGAACAGGTATGTGGCTCTTGGTTTTGAATTGAACAGGTATGTGGCTCTTGGTTTTGAATTGAACAGGTATGTGGCTCTTGGTTTTGAATTGAACAGGTATGTGGCTCTTGGTTTTGAATTGAACAGGTATGTGGCTCTTGGTTTTGAATTGAACAGGTATGTGGCTCTTGGTTTTGAATTGAACAGGTATGTGGCTCTTGGTTTTGAATTGAACAGGTATGTGGCTCTTGGTTTTGAATTGAACAGGTATGTGGCTCTTGGTTTTGAATTGAACAGGTATGTGGCTCTTGGTTTTGAATTGAACAGGTATGTGGCTCTTGGTTTTGAATTGAACAGGTATGTGGCTCTTGGTTTTGAATTGAACAGGTATGTGGCTCTTGGTTTTGAATTGAACAGGTATGTGGCTCTTGGTTTTAAATTGAACAGGTATGATACCTGTTGGTTTTGAATTCAAGCAGATTTGAATCTGTTGATAATTCAAACAGATAGCAAAAAACGGGAAGGGCCCTGCTTGGGTGTGCATTAATTCCAAACTAGTTTATTTCTGTTTGAAAACGGGAAGGGCCCTGTTTGGATGTACAGAAAATCCAAATCAGTTTAATTTGAATTCTGGATTTTATTTTACCAAAAAATAAAATAAAATTCAAATGTTTTTTGTCCAAAAAGATTAGAAGCCTAACCGGACGGACAACGGTGGCGCGCGCGTGTGTGGTGATTTTTGGGTCCAATGGGTTTAGCCCATTTTGCCCATAACCTCTCCCTCTAAAACACTTGGGTACCACTTGGGGCACACCCAAAGTATCTCACCCAAGCCTTATAAACCCTTTCAAAACTTCCCATCAAATCAATGTGGGACAAGCCAATTTACAACCTTAAGAAATTTCCACCAAAACTCCATTTCCATGGGGCACACTTTGGCTTCAATTTCCCATTCACTCGGTAATGGTTTTGAGCAACCAAATATACCACGTGAATCACAACGCGGCATAGAACGCGTTACCACTTTGACCCGAGTAAATCGACACTCAGGGCCCACCTAAAAAATAGACCAAACTTGAGAAAAAATTCTGGTTTTACCCAGAATTTTTCTACCATTTCTAACAGTATTGAGTAGCCCAACAGATCTAATACGAGCCGAATAAGGCCCAAGCCCGCTGGGCTGGGTAACCATCGAATGACAAGTGAGCATAGTAAATAGGAACATTGAAGATATTTTTGATATACAGTGAAGTTTGAATAGTACATATCAACAGGAGTTCACTTAGTGAGATGAAAATTTCCAGTGAAGAGTATAATATGAAAATAGGCCCTAGAGGGTAATGATGAGAAGTTAGGTTACGTGGAACAAGGGTTAAGAAAGATGATACTATAAAAGGCGAAGAAGAACTTAACGAAGAGGGGGTAAGAAAAAAACAGCTAACTTGAACCTTTAAGAAATAATGACGCGAGTCTTTTCGAGAAGCTAACTTGCTCATTGGAGTGCTAATTTCGGCACCATCGACCGGATCATTCGTTTATGTTTCAGGTGACATCACATGGATCTCAAGGGTTTGACTAAATTGAAGAAGTATTTCCAAATCCAATTCACCACATTTTCATATCTTTTCTGTAGAATTTTATTTTTTTGTATGATTGCAATTTTAAGACTAATCTGTTAATGGTGGTGTTGGTGGTAACAAAAGGGTAGAATCTTATATTATTAAATGTATAACAAATAAATAATTAACACATGTAATGTCACATCATTGTGGTACAATTATGGGTATTAAATATTTTCCATTAAAAATAGAGAATATCGTATAAAAGAAAGAATGAGTTTTCTTTTTTTCTTTTTTCACCAAAACCTTTTTTTTTTTAAATAAAAAATCAAAGAACAGTTTCTAAAAACTCAAGCCAACAAACTTGACCTTTTTTCATTGTATTTGCTAAAAACAAACTGAGTACAATTTGTTGGAAATGATTAGGAAAATTCTGGGTAAAACAGAATTTTTTCTTAACTTTGATCTATTATTTGGTCTATTATTTAGGTGGGACCCGTACGTCAAATTTGGCAGGTCTAAGTGATAACGCGTTCTATGTCGTGTTGTGATTCACATGGTATATTTGGTTGCTCAAAACCATTATCGAGTGAATAGGAAATTGAAACCAAAGTGAGCTCTATGGAAATGAAGTTTTGGTGAAAATTCCTTAAGGTTGGAAAATGGCTTGTCCCACATTGATTTGTTGGAAAGTTTTGAATGGGTTTATAAGGCATGGGATTGGAACTTGGGATGTGCCCCAAGGGGTACCCAAGTTTTGTAGAGAGTAAGGTTATGGGCTAGACCCATTGGACCCAAAAAATCATCACACGCGCGCGCCGCGACTGTCCGTCCGGGCAAGCCTGGGCACGGGTACATGGTATGAGGTTGGGCTTGTCTGTCCCAATACTAATCTTTTTGGGCCAAAAACATTTGAATTTTATTTTATTTGGTTATAAATAAAATCGGTCCGTTTTTATTTCAAATTCTAAATTCAAATTTTTTGGTTTGCAGCTCTTCAGAAATTTTGCACAGTTTCGGATCTGTCCAAACCGAATTTGTTCAAATTCAAATCTGAATTGGTTAAAATTCAAACCAAACAGTGCCTACAGATTTTGTATCTGTTTAATTTAAATTGAACAGGTATGCTACCTGTTTAATTCAAAACTAGTAGCCACCAATCCATCTATAAATAGGCAGCCCTCATTTGATGAATTCATTCACTTTTTTTGTCCTTCCTTGCTGCAAATTCATCTATGCATTTTGCTGCATTTATTCTATTATTTTTCTTGTAAGAATGAGTGTATACACTAAGTGTGTTCGTTGAACAAATAAATTGTAGTGCTGCATTTATTTGTTGTTGATCATTTCATCCTGGGAGATAGACGTCCATATTCTGATAAGCACCGTGGAGAGAACGAATCTGTCTTAAGGGCACAGTGTCGAACACTGGACTTGATCAGAATAATATTCAAGATATTAATCAAGTAAGTTATTTATTTATTTTCTGTTTTATTATTTATTTAAATCAGATTTTAATTTTGTTTATGTAATAAAATAAAATATGTTTTTATTTATTTAATTCTTATTCTAGTTTGATTTTTGTAATCAAACATTCTCTCTCATTTTCTATTTTTCTTTTATATTTAGTTTGTTGTTTTGTACCCAAACAGAATTAATTATTTTAATTACGGTGAAGATTGTCCAACACAATTAACATATATAATGCAACATTCGTGATTTTTTACGTCCCCTTGCAGGTAGTCATTTGAAATACTTGAAACATAGGATTGATGCATTGGACAATGAATCGAGTCCATTTCATATGAGACGAAGCTTGAGTCTGATCCCAATGGTGGTTGCGTTCATATGAGCATTAGCAAGTACTATACCAAACCGGGCGTTGAGGTAAAGGAGGAGGACATCATGGCTGGGAAAGAAAAGCCTCCGGCATGCTCAAGGCTGTGGAAGCCTACCTCTTGGCAAACCCTGATGCATATGTTTGATCATCCTCCATTGTTGAAATGAAACAATGCCTTGCACATCATATCATATCATATCACTCTCTTCCATTTTCATTTTAGTTACTAGTGTGGCTTGTATGTTCTCTTCTTTCCAGCCAAAGTTGCCAATTTGGCTTGATAATAAGTGTGTGTAATAATATATAGAGTTGTATGTACTGTTTGATTGGAATGAATAGTGAATTGATTTCTAATTTTTTTTTTGTTGAACGAATTTGATTTCTAATTATCGAAATCTGTTTTCGCATGTTTTCAAACATAGGTCAAAACAATCCTAATTACTTTTTGAGTCTCCATTCAAACCAGCAAGAAGCCGCCCTTGTGTATCAATCATGTGGTCTATTGAATGGGATCTTTAAAGTTCGGGGAAAAAAATAAAATAAAGTTGTACCAGATGAGAAAAAGTGATGTTGGGAACAAGTCATACATATGTTTGATATGACCACGATGTTTGAACAAATGTTTGAAACCTTTCAGTATTACATCTGTTTGGCTTCTCTTCTGCCAATTTCCAATGGATTGACACCAAACCTACCCCATCTCTCTCTCTCACACACACACACACATATATATATAGCACAAAGCGGTGCTCTTCATCTCCACAAATAAGCTTTTTGATCTCTATAATCAAAAAAAGAAGATGGGGGTGACATGCTTTAGCCAGGAGTTTACATGCCCTGTTGCACCAGCAAGAATGTTCAAGGCATTGATCTTAGAATCCAACAACCTAATCCCAAAGCTCTTACCTCAATTCATTGAAAGTGTGGAAGTAATTGAAGGAGATGGAGGACCAGGAAGCATTGAACAGGTCAACTTCACTCAAGGTTAGCAAAAACCCACATAAGTTTCTGCCCATTTGATTGTGTTTTCATTTTCTTTTTTCTGTTTTTATTTTTTAGGAGTAAATTAAGGATTCATGTTTTTGGTTTGTCATGCAATTAGCCACTTCAAGTATGTGAAGCACTAAAAATAATATAAAATACAATCAAACAGACCAGCACTGTCATGATTTATAAATACTAATTTGAAACAGTATTGATTGTTTTTGGTTTTGTGATGCAGACAGCAACTTCAACTATGTGAAGCACAGAATCGACGAGCTGGACAAAGAGAAATTTGTGTGCAAGTACACCATGATTGAAGGTGACAGATTGGGCGACAAGCTTGAATCTATCGATTATGATGTCAGGTTTGAAGCAGCCAACAATGGAGGTTGCATCTGTAAGATGATCACCAAATACCACACCGTGGGCGAGCTTGAGAACAAGGAAGAAGAGATCAAGTCCGGCAAGGACAGCGCTATGGGGGTTTACAAAGTTGTTGAAGCCTACCTTTTGGACAATCCTCACGTCTATGCTTAATTAAGCCTGTGTTGTACCACCAGTCCTTTATATACATAATCTCATATCTGAAGATTATTTTTTGTGTGAAATTGAAATAAAGTTCAAAACAAATTGGTTTCTTTTAACTAAGCTACTTTGGAACTTTACAAGCTCAGGTCATGTATGGGATCATATTACATATTGTGAGATGGGTAATTTGCATTTCCTTGAATTAATGTTGGATAATTCAAACCCAAATCAAAGATAAGAGATTTGTTCAATTTGCTAAACTTGTCTCCAAGGAAGTTTGAAAATTGAACTCAAGAATTGGATCCTCCCTTTGTCACAAGGCTCTATTTAGAGTGAGAGAGATGGATCTTATAATAGAGAGGGGTTTGGAGATAAGAGAACAGAGAAGAATAAAACAGAGAATCCTCAATCCTTAAGAATTGGTTTCAAGTAAAAAAATTTATTAAAAAAATAAAAAAGTTTGGTCTAAAAATGCATGTTATTTGACAATTTCAAAAAAAAAAAAAAATGATTTTTATTTTTTGGATTTAAAAAAAAAATTGGCTGGAATAACATTGGAGAAACCCCCCTCCATACTCTTTCTCTCTCTTCAATCACCTTCTCTGTTTCTCTTCAAACAACCATCCAATTAATGTCTCACAATCTATATATCTATAGATGGCCGAATTTCTTTCAAGAATCTTTGTCCCTCCCACTCCAATGGCTTCCTCAATGGCTGCTAAAAATTATTTTTCAAAGGAAATGCTTCATGGCTTCATTTACAATCCTGTACCAATTCTTGATTCAGCAACAATCGCAGTTCCCCCACCACCACCCTCCCGCCTTCCTCTCCGGCCACCACTCTAAATAATACAACTAGCTTTCACCTATGGCGACATTTTTTTTTTTACATCTCTTCCAAAGCTGTTGATCATTTACCCATAGTTTGGATTAAATCATATTGCAATATAATATATTTTATTACTTGATACACATAACTCTAATCAATTTTCTTATTACGTTTATTGTGTTGTGTTTTTTTTTTATTTATTTTGAGATGTTTTTTCTTTTTTGTTTTCAAAAAGTGCGAATCAGTAATTTCCAATAACAGAAGATAAATTTTTTGTGTTTAAATTTAGACAGCTCAAGCCTAGCCTAAATTCTTTGAGTTAACTCGGAATCAGGCTTGGGCAAACAAATTCTGACAGATATCAGATTCGGGTAAGGGCAGATAGATCCCTCCATATTCTGGACTAAGCCTTTGGACAAAGATAGGGCTCAGACTTGAGAGTTGCTTGCAGAAAACATTTTCATTGTTTTCAAAAGTTGCAAAGAGTTGCAGGCACAAAAAGTTAAACGATAAACGCATATCAAGGAATTGTAGGATAGAGAGAATCTAAGGAAGCAAAATGTCACAATGTGTAATATGACTTGTTTAAGCAAAAACAAATAATATGTTTGTTTTTATCATATACTCAACTGTGGTCATAATCCAGTATACATTACGTTCACAACAAGTATCTTTTCCTATGGATATCCTTTGTTTATTTCTGTAGAAATATGTTCCACATTTTCAAACATTTAGTATGGAAAACATTGTCCGTAATTAACAGAAAACAAGTTTATTTGGTAAAAAAGATTTTCCATTTTTAAAATGTAAAATATATTTTTCCAAACTTCCACCTCCACTACTAATACAACTACCAACACATTAGTTTTAAGATCATAACCAAACATAAAAATTTGTTTTTACAGAAAAAAAAAAAAAAAAAAAAAAATTATCATAAAAAACGTTTTTCATTGTAAAATATTTTCCCAAAAAAACAAAAAACAGAGCATGAAAACAATTCACAACAGCAGACGACCTAAGTCATGATGAAGTTCTGATTTTCCCAAAGAGATGTTTTTGTTTTTTTGTTTTCTGGATAACAGACAAGATGAACTATTTCCAAAACTGTTATTGAAAAGATTTTTATTTTAAAAAACTACTTTTACACACAAAATGAAACAATATGATTTAAATTTTTCATTATTTTGTTTCTGAAAAACACAAAATTAATAATAAAAATAAAAGTGAAAACACAACCAAACAGGGTACTGAAACTCGAACCAGACAAATGTATGAAGGGGTATTGTCCTAATCAGAGTTCATTGTCAACCCTTGCTGGTTAGCATATTAGTATGTGAAGTGTACCTGTCACCTGCGATGAAGGAATCTGATCTCCATCAACCTTTTTGATAAAAATTTGACAAAAAGGGAAGTGTGTATTGTGCTCTGGAACCCTTAAAATATCATTCATTCAACAGTGACACAACATATATTGGCCATTTTGGCCATTTTTAATATGTTATTGAGTGCTCTCTTTCTTGCAAGAAAAGGATTCCTAAAGAGTGGATATGCTTTGTAAAGCTACTTTGATTGTATTTGACCAGTGAGAGCCATGAACGAATGATCATCATCTATCTATCTTCTTTTTCTTGTCGGTTTTGGATATCCTAACTTCACACACAAAGCCTCCCAATTATAGATGGCCATCCATTGTGAAAGCAAATTCCCTTTGGCTCTCAACATTCTAAGGTCCAAACAAAACACCAACCCTTTAACTAGTCTTTACATCAACTTTGGTCCCTAATCATGATCACATAAAAATAATAATAATAACTAAATAAAAATAAAACTCAAAATCTTGCTTTATCAGTAAACCCTACCCCCTTCCTTGTTTGGTGGAATATTTAACAAGTTGAAAGCTAATAATCAAAATTTACAAGTACCTCCTCTCCACCTTCCTAGTAATCAATTTTTTTTTAGCTTATTAAGCTTTTTCTGTCTTATGAAGTTTTTAACTTTGGTCCCCAATCCACCACCCTTCCCCTCTTTTACCATTTGACAAGTATTTGTGATTCCAAACCACCACATCAGCTTTGATCTTCAATCAATCATGGTCTGTTACATAAGCAAACGTAAAACTCGCATGTTACATAAGCAAAAGCAAGACTTGAGATCTTACTGTGTCAAGCCCTCTTTCCCCCCCTTCCCTCTTTTATTATTTGACAAGTCCGCTTTTAGTGATCCCAAATCACCACATCAACTTTGATCTCCCGACCAATTATTATTGGTTACATGGGAAAAAATGAGACTCGGTATCTCTATTAGGACTCACTATCTCAAGAAGGTAAAAAAATAAAATCTCAAACTCCACTTCTTTTTTTTTTCTTTTTTAATTTTTTAGTCGATCGAGACCAAACTAACATGACAGTCACATACCACCGAATATATTTTTTTCCATTTCACACTGACTTCTTAAAGCAAATCTAGCAGCAATACTCCCTCTCCCTCTCTCCCTCTAAAAAGAGATTCCTTACATGTCCCACACCCTCTGCCTTTTAAATATTCCCTCCACAAGTACAAATGAATGCAATGTATAGATTCTCCATTCGCTCTCTCCACCCTCAAACAACTCTGATTGCTTCTCCATTTTTCCTCCAATTCTTCACTCATGATTCCAGAGTTACAGGTACACACATCAAATCTCTAACATCATTTCAACATAATATTATTACACAGCATTCTAAGTATTTCATCTTTCATGTTTCCACTTCACAACATTTCCAAATTCCAAGCATTAAAAATTTTCACTAAAAATGCAGAAACCTCGAGTCACCGAGATACAAGTCCGGATGGACTGCAACGGGTGTGTGCAGAAGATTAAGAAGGCTCTACATGGCATTAATGGTAAGTGATAAGTGAGTACCTCAAAATAAGTTCAATCTGTTGTTCTCTTTCCTGTTGTTCCTTCCAATAACATCTCAAACTTTGTCTGGGATCTTTCAGGTATTTATGATCATTACATCGACTTCCCTCAACAAAAGTTGACAATCATCGGGTGGGCAGATCCTGAAAAAATAATCAAAGCCATTAAGAAGACAAGAAAAATAGCCATTATTTGTTCCCATTCAGAACAACCCGACCCACCTGCTCAGCCAACAGAGACATCACCGGGTCAGCCAACAGAACAAGCACCAGCCCCTGACATGGCAAATCCACCACCACCTGAAGGAGCCCCACCAGCAGAGCCGCCAAAAGACCCACCACCTCCACCGCCAGAAAATCCACCACCGGGTGCACCACCACCAACTACCGCTAACGACCCTGCAAGCCAGCCTCCACAACCATCCAGACCAAAAGATGCAGAAGAGGTTCATGTAATATACCACCACCCACCTGTCTGTGACTACAGATACGGGTATGGTCACGGTTATGGCCATAGCTATGGTAACAACTACGGTGGACAATGGAACAATTACCCAAATAGCCCTCAATATCGACATGAGCCATCCCCACCTGTCTATGCGACCCGCAGCGACAACACGTACACTCCATTGCCTTATGTCACGCACAGCTACAACACATACAAGCCATCGCCTTATGTCACTGAATATGAATATAGCAACAGGTCACCGCCACGATACATGCATTACAGTAGTAGACCGGAGCGCTACAGTGACGACTATAACAGCAGCAACAATGGCAATGGAAATGGAAATATCACTTCAATGTTCAGCGATGAAAATCCAAATGCTTGTAGAATAGTCTAGAAGGAACGAAGAGGACAGTATGGAAAAAGTGCAGTGTTTTGTCACTAAGAATTGGCCTCGAATGTTGATGCAGAATAAGAAGTGAAATTATATCTTCGTTGGCAATAATATTTTCAAATGTATGTGAGAATGGAGAATGAGGAATCAGATTCTAAGCTTGTAAGTGTAGGAAGAATTTATCCTACATTCCACTTATGAGAGGAGCGATACAATTACGTGATGTTCATTTCTTGTAAAAGAATCCTATAAAGCTATTTTATTCTACAAACACATTCCTCAGCCTTCAATTCAAAGAATTAATATTTTTTTCTATACCTAAAAATATCAACTGGAAACTTCTAGAGCTTGAAACAGAGTGAATAACTTTCAGAAATCGCTATCCAATATAAAGTTCCTTGAAGTTAAGCAAAAAATATAACTACAACATATAAAGTTCCTGCAATGCCTTCTACATATTCCTTATATATTTCTCAATCGATCAACTTTACCACAGACATGTTCCTAATCTATTATTTTAAAATTCAAAATATCACAATAGGCATGAATCTTCAATAGATGCTCTATATTAATGTTGGTTAACAAAGCCAATGCTCAATGGATCTCTGCAGCAGAAAGAGAAAAACCCTAGTCATAAAATACTGTGAAACATGACAGATGCATTTTTTCAACCATTTCCAGTACTACTAATTGTCAACATGTGTATATGACATATGGTGCTACTGAAAAAAAAAATTAAATAATAACAATAAAAATAAAATAAAATAAAATAAGGCAGCACAAAATTGATGGATATTCAGAACATTTGAAACAGTCGGCACAAAGATTGAGGACTACAGTGAGAAGATATACTCTTTCTTGAGTTTCCATTCCTAATATTCTTTATATATCATCAAAAGGTTCTTGACATGCCATAAAACCTCAAGACTTTTGCACAAACACCAATCCCAAGGGTCTGTGGCTTAGTCATATCCAGAATTAATCCAAGCCCTTGTCAGCAAGAACAAGTTTCCACATTTTGGTGTCATCACTGTATTAACTAGGGCAAACCAAAAGACAAATTAGTAGCCACCAAGGTCTTGACTGTGCCATAACATTTTAGATTATTGAAAGAAAAGTCACTCACAAGCACAAAACAAGAAAAAATAAAACATAATCCAAATACAACAAACGCTACAAAATATGTGCTGTAAAATTTTTTTATTCATCATGCAAAAGAAATTAAAGGAATGTCTGGATTGTGGAGGTTTGCAAATTGCAATCTGACAGGATGGATGGAGGGAAGGGGGTTAAGGCTGGTTAGGAAGGCAAGGTCCACAAATATTTGGGTCCGTTTACTATGTCCATGTCTCTCTGCCCCACACATGCATGGAAAATCAATGTAAAGATCCACACTTACCAACGTTAATCAATATTATCAAATAGATTAGTTTAGGAGAACCATGTCACCACTAGCAGATTAGGCAATATCTTCGTGATCTATCTCAACGAAACTCAGGCCAAACCCTGCCAACTTAAGTTGGTGGCATTAAACACCATTTACAATTGTTAAACCTATTGAAGGCAAAACACAGATTCCAAGAGCTAAAACCAATCAGCACAAGTTCTGCAGAATCTACCCAAAAAACATAGCACAAGCCTAACAAAATTAACACTTTTATTTTATCAGCTACAATAAACACTTGCGCTTAACAACATTTGCAATTGTTAAACCTATTGAAGCCGAGAACTAAAAGCAATCAGCACAAGTTCTGCAGAATCTACCAATAAAAATAGCACAAGCCTAACAAAATAAACACTATTTTATAAGCTAAAACAAATCTGTTGCACACTAGTGCCTCTGGGAAATGCAGAAAGAAAGGGGAAAGAAAAAGGAAATTACTTGCTATCAATAAAAAACAATAAAAAACACTATTAAAAAATGGTGGGTAATGTAAGCAGGGATAGACATAGACATAGACATCGACATCCTGCACTGTTGGTAACAACAAAACAATTTAACTTGTAGCTACCAGATTACAGCAATGCAGAACTTATCAATAGTTTGGCAGCAAATTCATGGATATGTCCACATCAAGTCTATCATTGAATCCACTGACGAAAGCACAAGCCCAGCAAATGAAACCTGTGGGGGAAGCCAAACCAATGCTTACCCAATCAATTAATAAATTATGTGAGAGGAAGTCTAAGGTGTGTTTGGTTATGTGTTCCAAACACATTTCTACCCACTCATTTGAGTGTGGTGTTTATTTTGAGCTTTCAAATTATAATTCCACATCTACTTTTGAAAACTCCTTTCCAGACGGGAAAATTTGGCTAACTTGGTCGTCCTCCCAGACATTCTCCCGGACGTCCGGCTGGTTGACCGGAACAGTGTTAGATTTTATTTTATTTTTTTATTTTTTATTTTTTTCCTTCTCTTGGGCACCTATTATTTTTATATTGTAAATAAAAAAATATTTTCAAATTTTTTAAATTTTTATAGGAGCTTTGAATAGAATTTTGAGTTGTGTTTGATTATGAGTTGTGAATTATTGAATCAAATAACTTTTCTAATTTCAAAAACTTAAAACTCCGTCCAAAACTCAATTCAAAACTCATAACTAAACAAATTTTCCACATTCAAATCATAATTCTAAAACTCACAAACTCAAAATACAACTCTATTCTCAATTCATATTTAGAAAACTCTACCAAACGCTACCTAACATTTTCATCCAAGCACTTCCTAGATCTACAAACAAGGCAGCATCAAAAGAATATTTGATTGACAAACACATAATCACCTTTTTTAGAAGAAAAAACCTAGTCATCATCACCACTACTATTTTGGAATTCTTTGTCTTCATCACCATAAAGAAATTCATCTTTACTTTCATCCATCTGGTGATCATGTGAAAAACTTGGACCTTTGTTCTAAATAGCCTTGTCAATCTGCTAAAATAAAAAATAAGAGAGAGAGAGAGGGAATATTTTTTCTTGATCTAAAAATTCAACCATGTTTGTTGAACGAACTCATTTGACATAAAGAAATTAACCTATACTGTTACAAACAACTTCAATATAGACTGAATAGACACCCCTTTGAACTTGGTAAGCTAGAAGAAGACGATGTAATGAATATCTTACAAGAGTTGAATGATGAACAATCATCAAGGGGAGCGAATGAAGTGCGATACTAAAGTGCAAGTGTATCATTGTGAAGAGTTAAGGCACGAAAATCCATTGCAAATAAGAAAACTTACAAGCATACCAAACAGATCAAAATGAGATTTTAATGGTACTAGAGAAATTTAAATATTAAAAATATAAAATGAAAACGCAACAAAACTGAAGCCTGTAAATTATTTCAATTATTTTGGGTTACTTAATCATGTTTCTTTGAGAGACGTAAAGTAAAAGTATCATCAAGCCATGAGAACAGAGAACACCCTGCCAAACCCAAAACAGTTCATGGAAACAAAAGTCATCACTCCCACTTGGGTATGTTTATGCACAGTGAACACCGAAATACATATCCAATTTATTAAAAAAAGAGAAGCATTTTCTGACCAAAATCATCCAAATTGTTTGAATCATATGTGATTGGAGGGAGAGTTGAAAATTTCATTTCCCTCCAAAACTAAATTTACTAGTCAATCAATTTGTTTGGAGGGAATGTTAAATTTTTTTAATTTCTTTAAAACTAACAACTTTTTTTTTTTCTTTCAATTATGGCTTTATTAAATATTATTAGTAAATATTATGCAACAATTTTTTTTATTGTTTCAGCAATTATATATATTTTCATTTATGTCTAATTTATAATTATATAATATTAATTATACCGTTATAATTCGACCCTTGTGACCCGACAATTGAAACAGTAAGCTATCCACCAGATCCCTTTTTCAATTCACTCACCGGTCCAATTTTCAAAATATTGCACCAAACTCAACACCGATTTTGACATTGCTATAATTTCGCATGGAAGATGGCACACCATTGGTAAAACTCATTAAATCCATTATCAAATTAGTATTATACAGATTCACATATATACACTACTTTCACAGCTACTTATGCAACTTACATTTTAACAACAACAACAACAACAAAAAAGAAGAAGAAGAAGAAGCTTTGGTACCTTGATTCGACAATCTCCAGAACTGATAGCGAAGAATTGCAAAGACAGGTCTCTGATATTTGAGAAGCCATTATAAACCTGAAACTCAAAAGAAGGATGAGTCATATATATATATATATAAATCTATACGAAATTCACACTCGTTTGTGTGTGCGAGTCCTCCCTAAAAACCATAAGAGAAAAGCTACCATAAAAGCGTCGTCAGCTGTGGCGGTGGCGGAAAGGCCAAAGGTGGTGGTTGGCGTAGAGAGAAAGCAGCCTCCTTTCTTTTATTTATTTATTTTTTTACCTCCTTCTCTTCCCACCGACCTCTTTCTTAAATTTTTTGACTTGAATTTTAATTTATTTTTTTAAAATACGTTTATGTGACACTTTGGTAATCAATTTTTTTTTTTTTTTAGAAAGATTAAAAAAAACAGTTATGTTAAGATGGAAAATACTTTCATAATCATTAATTATTGATAAAATCAACAGTAGTACCTCATAATTTTTATTAAAAAAAAAAAAAAAACGCATATACTATCACATCATTTTATATAAATTTTTGAGTGTATTACTAATCAATCTTGCTACATACCTCTAATTAGAGGTCATTCCGTACAACTCTAAAAAATAAAAATAAAAAAGTGAAGTAAAAGACAAAAATAAGAGAAGAAAAAGACAAATTAGAGATGGATTAGAGGTGTTTTTTTAGAGATCCAAATCATTTTTCATTACTAATAGATCTTACTAATTAGATTTAATTCCCATTAAGTCTTGTCGAAAGTTAGTTCTTGTAAAATTGTTACTATAAATAATTTTTTGTAATAATTTTTTATATATGTCGCTAAAAATTAATAATTAAATTTTTTTTCACGATTTGCTATTTTAGCCCCAAACCCACCCAAACCTTCTTGCCAAACATAGGCTAATAAATCTTAATAATTAGATTTAATTCCCATTAAGTCTTGTCGAAAGTTAGTTCTTGTAAAATTGTTACTATAAATAATTTTTTGTAATAATTTTTTATATATGTCGCTAAACATTAATAATTAAATTTTTTTTCACGATTTTTATAATTGTCGCAAAAATTTATAATTAGTGACATTTATTATGACGAATTTTTCAAACTGTTGCTGAAAGTTGAAAATTAGTGACATTTTTTTTGACGATTTTTTTAAACTATCGCAAACTTATAATTAGTGATTTTTTTAACAAATTTTTTAATATTGCTGAAAATTAATGATTAGTGATGTTTTTAATAGAGTTTGATGAGAAATATCATTTATTATCACAAGATCTATTAAATAATAAGTCCACCTATTAAAACCTATAAATAAGTCCCCCTAAATTTTTTATATAAAAATTCTATTTGTGAAATATTTTTTTCTCAAGCAATTATAGCATTCACTCTTAAAACTAGCCCAGAATATCCCTAAAAATTATATAAAATAGGGACAGCAAAATTGTAAAATGTATAATTTCTATAAGTTTCGTACCATGTTATCTAAAAGCATACATTAGCAAAATTTACAAGTAAATAAATAAACAAAATTTGTTAATTCTCATTTCATTCACAAATTTTTTTTTTTTTTTTTCTTTTCCCTGGAGGGTATGAATATTTATTTAGAAAAAGCTCTAACTTGATAATTGGGTATCTAAAGATTCAGGACCGGCCCCGGATTCACTTTTCAAAGTATGCTCATATGCATGTGTTTGAAATAAATTTTGTATACATGCTTCTTATATATGATAACCGCCTTTTGTAGTAATTTTTTTATTTTAAACCAAAACATTCTTCATACCATTATAAGAAAAATGCTTGGAAGCATTAATTAGTGCTCCCACTAATTAGGTGGCAGTGGGTCCCGCCATTAATGATGTGATGTTTTGATCTTGGAGTTGTATTTTTTTTTTTTTTTTAACTTTTTTAATGCATTAGTGCTATTAGTGATGATGCTTTTAGTGGGATGAATCATTGTTGCCATTCTAAACGGTATAATCATTTGTTGTGCCAAACAATATAAAAATGGATTCTTGAAATTGATTTTCAATCAACACTGGTGTTTTGTTCTAAGAAAAGTGCAAATCTGCTGCTTGAACCATCAAAACGGAAAGCAATCCATTGCTCTATATAGTTACACGTATAAGAGCATCTCCAATGCACTAGGCATATAATACTTGTTAGTTAAAATGCCTAGTGTGATTCACTTTTTTCAATTCTAATGCACTAGGCATATGATTAGGCATTTTGACTCAACTCATATTCACTAGTTACATGTAGCTAGCCTTCAACGCTAGACAAAATGTATTCAATCATTAAGATCATTTCCCTCCATCTTTGTTATTGATGTGGCATTCTATAAAATTAATAGTATTTGGATAAATAGCTAAAATAAAAAGCATGGTTGGAGTAAAAACATAAAACAGTTGATAAGCAAAATAAAATATATACTTTATAGTAATATTTAGATAGGTAAAATGCCTACTACCGTTGGAGATGCTCTAAGCCACAGATGTTCTAAAATCAACTTGCTTTAAATGCTTTAGATGCTTTGAAGAAAAAACAACCGAAGAGAGAGAAAAAAAAATTAGTTTCGAACATGCATTCATGTTTCATTTCATATAGCATCACCATTCAACACTGACAAAAGAAAACAGACACACACAGAGAATGAAAACCAAATTTAATTAGACTCTAAAAATAGTTTAATAACCGACATGTCACTCCCTCTAAGGTTTACAATGAAATATAATGCACCAAATTCAGAAGAAAGAAAGAAAAAAAAACAAACAAACAAACACTACCAAAAATTCCTTGTACATGAATGAAGAAATGAAGCTGTACACAATATGCAAATGGTAATAACACGCAAGAATGCAGATGGGTAGGTGAAATAAACATGTATTCTAGACATTGTGTCTCTTATTGGAAAGAATCTGTCCTAATTGGAGATTGTAATGGTAAACGACTTCAGACTTTTCTCCCTCATATTGCGGATCCAAAAGATTTGATTTTCGGTATTTGGGGAAACGAAATGGTATCATAAAGCTGCAGCCCGACCCTCAGAATTCAGGAGAGAGAAGCAAGCCAAAGAAGAATTCGAGAACGAGCTATTGAGGTCGGGACATGGTTCCGGGAAGACAAACTGAGACGATCCCAAAACATTTGAACATACCCAAGAACTAGAAGAGCAAGAAGCAACATATAAGGTAATATTGGATAGACATATAGAAGTGAAAGGGGATTCTTGAATTCCGGTGAAGTTTCCGGCAAGAGTGATGTTTGTGCCAATCACATTCTCCAAGGTGATCTGATTCAAAACCGGGAGTGCGTTGGGATCGAAATCATCGTCCGGATGGGACCCGCTTTGACCCGTAGCACCAAATGCCGTGTGGACATTTTGCATCTTGACATCTGATATAATAATGTCTTTGATGTAACCACCTCTACCTCTAGTCGTTCGGAACTCAATGCCGTAAAATGAATTGTATACGTGGAGGTGCTGCACAAGGACATTGGAAATGCCACCAGACATTTCACTGCCAAAAGCTAGAGCAGAGCCGGAAGATGCTTGAAGGTAGACTTGTTTGATGTGTACACTTGTTGTAGGTCTGCCATAGGCAATCCCATATTCATCCCAGCCACTCTTGAGTGCAATGGCGTCATAACCGGTGCAAATGCTGCAATTCTCTATGCATATTTGATCAGAAGAATCTGAAAGAGTCAAAGAACATATTTCTGTCATATGAAGTAGAAAATTTCCGAACTTGTCCGAATAGCCCATTTTGTATATATAAATCTAAACAAAAACAAAAGCAAAAAAAACAAAAACCAATCTTGGGCATCTCCATGCAGCAACCTGAGCACCACAAAAAAGGGCAGAAGCTGAAGTATAATCCAAAGTTAAAACGAATTATCAGATTCGTATTAGCATAAACATATATGGTGAATATATTTGAAACAACTAACATTTAATAAATGAAAAGAGTAAGACATATAGTTCTGAACTAAAGCACCGGAATACAAATACGCATATGCTAGATAAATGAATTCACACATACAATCACTCAACGAGATGAATTGAAAAGTACGAAGTGAATGTGTGGATCAACATACGCACCTGGTACTATGCCAACAACGTAAGGTGATTCTGGTGGAGCATGGACTGAGACGTTCTGAACTTGCACATTTCTGCATAGAATCCGGTTTATAATGAAGTCAACTCCAAATGCTCATTAATTCATTAATTAAAATTGGAAAAAAAAAAATCAGACGAATCAACTTACGAGCAATAAACTGGATGAACATTAAATGCAGGAGCATTGAGGAAAGTTAGGTTTGACACTACAATATCCTTGGAACCAACAAGCTCAACAAGATGAGGCCGACTATAGTTTAATGAATGGGAGGTGAACCAATCCCACCAAACCGAGCCTTGCCCATCAATCGTTCCATTATCACCTAGTGCAGTGTTTGTAAGAATGATCAAATGAGATATACGAAACTAGACGACCAAACAAAGCATTGAGTGGTTGGTTATGACAGCATAAGCTAAGAATACTACCTGTTATTACTACATCATGCAACATATATCCACTTATCAGGCTTCTGTACCTCCCTCCAGGAAGCTCAAGCCCTCGACCATATGACGGTAGGGGTTCCTCGACCTCCCAATGAGATGCATCCTGATCAAGCAATGAAAATGGGAAAAACTGAAGGTTCACAAAAATGTCTCCAGCATAAAGTGATGCAATGAGACGAGGGCACTGAAATTGACAATGGTCGAGATATTAAAGGACGTCGATTAATTTGTGGTTCAACTTGGCCCTTGATCGAGCATAATGGCAAAACAAGATTCATGTAGCTAACCCCAAGTAGTTGGGAGAAGCGGGGGGGCCTGTTTGGTGCCATTTTTGTAAGCTGAAAGTAGATAATCGAAAAAACTAAACTAAACTAAGCCTTGTGTCCCAATCAAAATGGGTCAGCCAAATGAATTCTTTTTTGACATTTCGCTCTATCAAAAGTCATAACGATCCCTCCCCTAGCTTCCCGATAATCAATTCTTCAACTTATTTAAGTTCTTTTTACTTCAAAAGTTGTAAGCAAAAGGTGTGCCAAACGTTTTGACACAAGTTCCCAACACCAAAAAAAAAAAGTGTCATAAGCAGCTCAATACCAAACAGGCGGGTGTTTCGTACCATATTTTAAGCCTGCCTTTTTAGGCTTTTTGGTTTTTATGACAACGACGACGACAACAAAAAAATAAAAAATAAAATAAAACCTTTAAGAAGCCCCCACTAAACAACTTAAAAGCTGGCACCAAACACTCTTGGTAGAGTTGAGTCATTTTATTTTCTTTAATGATGCAAAATTAAGAAGAAAACAACTAGAACATGGGGGAAGAAATAAAAAGAATAGAACAAGACCTTCGATCCAAGAATGACGGCACCCCTTGCCAAGAAGAGTGTGAGATGGCTGGTAAGATTGAAACTTCCAGTAAGCCACCTTCCTGGCGGCACATACAGCTGAGCACCGCCCTTATCAGCGAAGGATTTGAGATAGAAAATTGCATTCTGGAAGGCAATGGTGTTCAATGTTTCCCCATCCCCGACAGCACCAAACTCTCGGATGGATACGCTATGCGGTCTGGGCTGTAATGTTGGTTTATAATCACACAGTCCCTCTCTCCCTTTATCATTGATTTCAATAGCGCTGCTCAACTGGAGAAGCACAAGTAATGGGACCTGAAGGGACAAGGAAAAGAAACGAAAAACAAGTTAGACAAGTTTGGACACGTATCAGTTCATTAATGAGGGTCACAAATTCAATGGAAACGGACTCAAAATCAACGGAAACGGTGACTGGAAAAAACAGGGACAACAGTTCATTTCAACGGAATCATCACACTACATAGGACAGATGATTAAATGCTAGAATCATAGAAACACCAAACACAACAATTTAATGCCAGAATAAGACAAACGCTGACACGCTCATGTGCATGTGCACATGCACATGCACATAGGTGAATAAGAAAAGAAAATGAAAGAAATAAATAGAAAGAAGAATTCAAGACAAACAAAAACAAAAAGGAATAAATATAAAGGAAAGAAAATGGACAAAGCCATACAAGCCTACATTGTAATTTGTATTAATACCTACATTGTATTAATACAAACCCAATAATGGACTACTAAACATCAACTTCGATTTCCGGAAATTACTTGGGAAAAATAAAATCGAAAGACCCTGAGAGCCAACTAAATTCATAATAAGTAAATGGATATAACAATAAATAGAAATGAGCAGAACAACCAAAAAAAAATAAAAACATACAAAAATAAATGCACATGAATATGCACACACATATACACAATATTAACAGCAAATGAGTGCATCTCTAATCTTTTAGAAATAGGAAAATGCATCTGCACATTACCAAATTGTTAGAAACAGTGATAGGGGGAAAAAAAACATAAAGCATTAATGGAAGGAATTCATATCACAATGAACAACGGCAGATAATTAAAGGGTTTCTAGTCAATTTCTACAGTGTGATGAGACGGTGCTAATGAAAATGAAGAACAGCTTGACATTATGAAGAACATTTTCTAAACAGATGATTTTCACAACCAAAATAAAACGAAAAAAATGGCAGGAACTAAAAACACGAAAAATGATGAGGAAACAACTGAACTGTTCAAACACACAATCAGACTAACCTGCAGTTGAAGTATGTTCAAATTTCATTATTTCAAAAAGCAAGAAAAAAAAAATGCTGCCGTTGATCTCAAGTAGCCACTGACTACTGACTGGAAATAAAAAATAAAAAATATCTGGGAAAGTACCCCTTGATAACGAGAAGGACCCAAAATCAGAAAATCGCAACAGAAAAGATAAGATCCATAATTTAGGATGAAAATGTGATAAGAACATGAAATTCAATCAAATCACGAAATCCAAAATGATAATCCTAGTAAGTCAAAACTGTCCCCTTCAATCGTGATTTTACAAAAACCCACAAAGGTAATCGACCATAGACCTCAAAAGATTGCACTTTTAATGTCAATTACATATATACACATGGAATGCAAAACCCTAACATCAAATTTCTGGATTAAACAAAAGCAAAAGAGAAAAATAGAAAGGAAACAGGAAATCAAAATAAAAAAAGAAACGTACTTACTAGCATCTTCATGAGTCTGGGAGTGTGAATCAGCATCCGAAGAGAAAACAACAGACTCTGATGCCCAAACAACAACTGCATCAGAGGAAAAAAAAGAAAAAGAAAAAGAAAAGAAAAGAATAAAAAACAGAGTAGCTTTCTGGGTATTACGATATACACACAAAAACATAAGTCTTTAGTATATAATGACAACAAACTTTATTATACATGGTAATAGTGAAAAAAAGATATATGATTACCCAAAATTGAAATAGAACAAAGGTAATAAAATATATGATTACCAAACGCAAATCAGTAATTAGATTTCATCAACATAACGTCTGTGGCCGACAATATTGTTTTGAGACTGTAACGGACCCATTTGAGTTCTAGAGAGAGAGAGAGAGAGAGAGAGAGAGTAGCAGTGTTGCTCTGGAGAGAGAAGCTGAAAACAAAGTGACACTAGTGTTGATGTGTGATTACTCAATACTTTGATAATATGAATATGTGGTATTTTATAAGATTTTAATTTATGAAAATGGTAAGAATTCATAATTTATATTGAAAATAAAAAATAATATAAAATTAAATAATTAATAATTAACTTAAAATATAATCACGTAATATTCTAAAAATATTGAATAATTTGACCTCAATGTTAAAAAGTCTAATGTTGTTGGAAGATTTAACTATGGGGTTGTTTGAGATGTCCTAAATAAGTGTACTTTTTGTCTTTTTGAACTAAAAAATTGAGGAAGAAAATATAGATGTTTGGGTTAACTTTTTAACTTTTTATGAAAAAATATGTAATAAAAAATTGTAAAAATTAGTTTATAAGAAAAAATTAGAATTTGGAGTTGTGCAGCCGTAATTGTTGACTTTTGATGAATAGTATTAATTTTTTAACTTTTTGAATAACTTTTTGACTTTTTGACTTATTCTAGACTTGTCAAACTTGGCTTATAAATGATTAAGTGAGAGAAAGGAAATAATGATAAAATTACATCCTTTCACAACAATTCTGGTTTTATGTTTTATTTAGGGGAAAATTATATAAAAAGGCACTCACTTTGGAACTAGAGCACGCTGTTGAGCTCAGAATGGCTCATTACACATTTTATTTCAATAATTCGAACAGTACAATATGTAAAACTCATCAAGTATTATATACGTATAAAAAATTATGTTGATCAGATATCGATAATTATGTGATTAAATCAGTTTTGTATAAATAAAAATAGACGGTGAAAAAATAAACAATTGACAAAAAACTGATTAGATGAGATAGCTATCGATATCCGATCAATATGATTTTTTGTAAATGTATAGTACTCGACGAGTTTTACACATTGAACGCTTCAAATTATCGAAACGGGACCCGTGGTGGAGCCTCACGAATCTAACAGTACCCTCCAATTGGATCTTGGATCGAAGAGAAGTCAAACCCAAATAAAAAAATTGAAATTTAACCTTTATAATGAAATAAATTATGAATTTTTAATTTTATCAATTTAAATTCTAATTTTTATTTTTTTATTTTCAATCTAAATCATATGGTAAAACTAAAAAATATATATATATTTTAGATATTTTATGTACACTTATATTTAGTTTAATAACTAAAATATATTTTAGATGTTTGGGAAGTGAGTTTTTTTATAATTTTTTTAGTTGTAGAATATTATTGGAGCAAAAAAATTTTGTATTTGCAAAGATAATTGGGTTTTTTTATGATTAGATGTAATGTTTGTGAGATAAAAAGTGAAATGATAATGGGTTTGATGCGATACTTTGTTTGGATTTTTTTTTTTTTTGTAACCAATTTGTCTTTTAGTGAAAAAAACAAAAAAAAAAAACAAAAAACAAACTTCCCAAACACCGCAACATTTATTTTCAAAATAAATATAATCTAATTATATAATTATTTTTCACATAAAATGGTATTATCAATGGGGTAAACGTTGATACTCTTTCGTTTAGTTTGATCCGTTTGGGAAGTGGGTTGGCTTTTTGGCTTAAACGAAGGCTTAATTGAGTTAAAATAAAAAATATATATTTATTTAAAAATTATTTTGATCCTACTTTAAAAAATATTTTAATTGAGTTTTTCTTAAATTAAGTGAATTTATACATATCGGTCGACTATTCGACTGATCTTGTCGGATGACCACTCTGACAACCGATATCACTTTGCTTGGTTTCCAGTTTTCCAAAACAGTTTTCAGAAAATTGTACTTTCTTATTTTCCGTGTTTTTTTGTTTTTATTGAATTTTTTAAATATTTTAAGCAATTTTTTTACTTTTTAGACACACCTAACATAAATACACCTAAAAAGTAAAAAAATTGTAAAAAAAATCTTTTAAAAATTCACTAAATACCAAAAATATAAAAAAAAAAGAAAACAAGAATTCAGTACATTTTTTGTATTTTTATGTATTTATTAATTTTTTAAAATATTTTTTCACAATTTTTTTACTTTTTAGATACATCTAAGTAAGGTGCATCTAAAAAGTAAAAAAAATGTTTAAAATTTAAAAAATATTCACTAAAAACAAAAAAACACAAAAACCATAAAAGTCAATTTTCAAAAAACTTAATTTAGGAAACTCAAACCAAACACAGTGATTATTATTTAGGAAAAATTAGCCTAAGGTCCCTCTCCCAATTTTAGTAACGGAAGACATCCACAATGTTATTTTTTGATGTCTAAAGTCCCTTCCATCTATCACAGAGAAATTCAGCCCCCGTTGATTATCTCCCTCTATTCTCTCTCTCTCTCTCCTTCTCAATTCTCGCAGATTACAACCTCTCAATCTCTCTCTGGACCTCAAAACCATTCAAACTCAACTCTAAATTCACAAACTCAATCGACGAAGAAACCATCTCTAATCTCTCTCTGGACCTCAAAACCATTCAAACTCAACTCCAAATTCACAAACTCAATCGACGAAGAAACCATCTCTAATCTTTTCGTCAACAACTCTCTCTCTGCTTCTTTATCCTCTCTCGGTCTTCATCTCCGACGCCGCCGAGCCATGGCAACTAGGGTCGCGAGAGTTGCTGACTCAGAATTCTGCTTGCATTCAGCTGGAGACAACCCCACTTCGTGCCGACTTTTCGATGCCATTCAAAACCTCTATATACCTGTTATTATTAGCGACAACATCGAGCTCCCATTTGAAGGGATGGTGGATTATTCAGAATTTTCTGTTTTCATTGCAGTTAGTGATGCTTTGCAACCAAACTGGCTTGTACATCATCTAAGAAATTCAGCCCCCGTTGATTATCTCCATCTATTTTCTCTCTCTCTCTCATTCTCAATTCTCGCAGATTACAACCTCTCAATCTCTCTCTGGACCTCAAAACCATTCAAACTCAACTCTAAATTCACAAACTCAATCGACGAAGAAACCATCTCTAATCTCTTCGTCAACAACTCTCTCTCTGCTTCTTTATCCTCTCTCGGTCTTCATCTCCGACGCCGCCGAGCCATGGCAACTAGGGTCGCGAGAGTTGCTGACTCAGAATTCTGCTTGCATCCAGCTGGAGACACCCCCACTTCGTGACGACTTTTCGATGCCATTCAAAACCTCTATATACCTGTTATTATTAGCGACAACATCGAGCTCCCATTTGAAGGGATGGTGGATTATTCAGAATTTTCTGTTTTCATTGCAGTTAGTGATGCTTTGCAACCAAACTGGCTTGTACATCATCTAAGAAATTCAGCCCCCGTTGATTATCTCCATCTATTTTCTCTCTCTCTCTCATTCTCAATTCTCGCAGATTACAACCTCTCAATCTCTCTCTGGACCTCAAAACCATTCAAACTCAACTCTAAATTCACAAACTCAATCGACGAAGAAACCATCTCTAATCTCTTCGTCAACAACTCTCTCTCTGCTTCTTTATCCTCTCTCGGTCTTCATCTCCGACGCCGCCGAGCCATGGCAACTAGGGTCGCGAGAGTTGCTGACTCAGAATTCTGCTTGCATCCAGCTGGAGACACCCCCACTTCGTGCCGACTTTTCGATGCCATCTAAAGCCTCTATATACCTGTTATTGTCAGCGACAACATCGAGCTCCCATTTGAAAGGATGGTGGATTATTCATAATTTTCTGTTTTCATTGCAGTTAGTGATGCTTTGCAACCAAACTAGCTTGTGCATCATCTAAGAAGCTATTCTGACAAGAAAAAGGATATATTTTGCCGAAATATGGCTCCAGGTTAGCCCCTTTTTTTGTTTTATAAATGCCTTTTTCTTTTTTTTGGGTGCCCAAGAAATTATTTTCAAAACTATTGAAGGTACTGTTGGATCTATGGAGATCTACAACGGATTTTATTTCAATAATTCGAACAGTTCAATATGTAAAACTCATCAAGTATTATATACGTATAAAAAATTATGTTGATCAGATATTGATAACTATGTGATTAAATCAGTTTTGTATAAATAAAAATAGACGGTGAAAAAATAAACAGTTGACAGAAAACTGATTAGATGAGATAGCTATGGATATCCGATCAATATGATTTTTTGTAAATGTATAGTACTCGACGAGTTTTACACATTGAACGCTTCAAATTATCGAAACGGGACCCGTGGTGGAGCCTCACGAATCTAACAGTACCCTCCAATTGGATCTTGGATCGAAGAGATGTCAAACCCAAATAAAAAAATTGAAATTTAACCTTTATAACGAAATAAATTATGAATTTTTAATTTTATCAATTTAAATTCTAATTTTTATTTTTTTATTTTCAATCTAAATCATATGGTAAAACTAAAAAATATATATATTTTAGATATTTTATGTACACTTATATTTAGTTTAATAACTAAAATATATTTTTTTTTCAATTTTACTTAAGGTAAGAAGAATAGACATATGATTTAGATTGAAACAAAACAAAAAATTATGATTTAAATTGATAAAATTAAAATTGTTAAATTTAATTTTATTATAAGGTCAAATTCTGAATTTATTTATTTTATGTTTTTTGTAATTTCCCCTTTATTTTATTTTATTTTGGATTCGATAGTGTAAATCTTTAAAAAAAAAATAGATTCACTTAAAATTATAATATTCAAATTTCGAAACAGAGTTTGTTTTATGTAACGCTTTATAAGTTCAAAACTAAAAATCACAAGTTAAAATTAGTTCTTAATAATCAACTTGTTTAATTTTTTTTATAAACTATAAGTAAAAATCACATCAAATACTTGATACAAAATTTTGAAATTAAAAAAAAAATTATAAACATTATCACAAGCTACACCAAAATAAAGCATCACATCATAAGAGTGTTAATCATATCTTCACAATAGTACGATTTAGGTAGTCATTTATTTTATTAGTATTTTTTTCAATAATAATGCTATATAAATTTAAGGTTTATCTAGCTTATTTTGGGTATGATTTATAAGATAATTTTTTTATTTATTATAAA